ATTGAGGAGACTGAACTGCTGGGTGCAACCCTAGATATCAAGCTTTCATGGTCAAAACATATAGACTCAATGGTTGCTAAAATGGGAAGAGGTCTGGCCATGATGGGGCGTTGCTCTGCCTTCTTGACATCTCAGTCGACCAGATAGGTCCTACAGGCTCTAGTGTTGTCGCACCTGGACTACTGCCCAGCTGTGTGGTCATGTGCGGCAAAGAAAGACAGGTCAATTGCAGTTGGTCCAGAAGAAAGCAGGATGTAGATGTACATGGAGGGAAAGTGTCAGTAACCTGCATGTCAGCTCAAAGTTGAAGAGAGATTGACTGCATCACTATTGGTCTTTATTTATTGTGCGAGGTGTTGAAGTTACCGAACTTTCTGTTCAAGCAGTTGGCACACAGTTCGGACACTCATTGGTACACCACAAGACATGCAACCAGAGGTTTCTTCACAGTCCCCAGGTCAAGAACAGAGGCTGGGAAACGCAGTATTAGATAAAAGTATTAGATAGAGCCATGACTGCAACTCTCTACCACCCCAGGTAACTCCAGCTAGCAATAAAACCAGTAAAAAAAAAAAACAGATAAAAGAACACCTTACTGCACAAAGGAGACTGTGAAGAGACAGCCATTTTATGTATTTTGTATTGTAATTTGCACTGTGTTAGATATTGTGTGTATGTACTGATATGTAGGCTATGTGTGACATTTTAAATGTATGTATTTCAGTCCTTGACTAAAAATGTTCTGTAGTATGTAATATGTCATGTTTCATGTGAACCCCAAGAAGAGTAGCTGATGCTTTGGCAGAGGATAATGGGGATCCTAATAAATACCAAATGTTGACTGTCGTCTAATATGAACCATCTTGCTGTTGTGAAATGTTGCAAGGCCAACTGCTGTGGTTTACCAATGAGGAAGTGTCGATCTGTTAGCATCCTCCTCTCTCTGTGGTGCTGTTTCACTAAGCAGACCTGGGTTCAAATACTATTTGAAATCTTTCAAAAACGTTTAGCATTTGCACTAGCCTGCCTGGAGTGCCAAATGGGTGGGGTTTACAGTTTTGGGACTATTCTATTGGTCCAATTAAGACAGGCAAACTCAATCATTGCAGATTGAAATTATATCAAATAGTATTTGAACATAGGTCTTCTACTAAGAACAGTTAAGTGCCTCTGATGCTATCATGAGGACCAAGGTGCTACGTGTGACTCAGCATCCTGTACCATGACATTCCACAAGCATGTGTTTTGGGTTTCATGAGAAGTGAAGCACATTAGTTCTAAAATAATATTGTAGTTGATTGCGTGGTGGTGAATAGTAAATGGTAAATCCTCTTGTCAGCAGCAGCTATGTTAGCTGGAGTCTTATGCCAGGTGTACACTACACCATTTTTGCCACAATTTAGCTGTCCCAGACAAGTTTTTGATATCGGAGACAAAATTCCTATGTCGTTGCCTACTCGGGGAGCACGGCCGTCACCGACGCTCGTTTAATGTGAGTGGGTCAAAAGACGCAATCTGAGGGCTACGGATCTCGTCTTTGAGCAGGCCCAGACGTCCCGATTTATTATAGGCACTCAATCTGCAATGCTTGCTCTTGTAGTGTGAGATGCGCAACGACACGTTTTGAGAAGGGTGATCAACAATAGTCAATGAGAGCTGGCCAGAGAAGAAGCCAGTGAGATGATGACGTTGTTTTGCATCACCCAGAATGTGCAGACTCGAGCAGGAGCGATGATGACTACTAGTATGCGTTTGAACTTGCCTTTAACCAAAGAGTCAAATCGTTACAGCTCTGAAGTTCACAAGCAATGTTATTCAATTCAAAATGTTGGGTAGATATTTCAACTCTGTATGGCGAGCGTGAATGTCTGATTGTACGTTTATGAGGCTGCTTTGAACCACAGCTTGTAGCTACGTTAAATCTAATCACATCATTGTTTTGGCGAGACAGCGTGGGATGGAGAATCCTCACGACCAAGGGAAGAATCTTGTAGTGTGACCACCGTCTGTGCCACATCGTTTAGTGGACGCACCACTACGTTGACAACACACAACAAAACTACAGGAAAGACGGTTGTTTAATGTAGGAGGCTCAACGATGTCAGGATTTTGAAAGTCGTGTAGTGTCCATCCGGCTTTAGCGTTTAGCCTACTAGGGCCTACACAATCAACATGAACTGCTTTTGGACTTGGAAGAATGAACTCAACTCACTTGATGACAATTATTGTGTGTAGAGAATAGACATGGCATCCCTTTATAACTCTGCATAAGAGAGCAATGAGGAATTTCCACACTGTGTTGTTAGTCATCAGGGCGGCAGATAGCCTAGCGGTTAGAGCGTTGGGTTAGGGTTCGAATCCCTGAGCCGATTAGGTGAAATCTGTCAATCTGCTCTTGAGCAAGGCACTTAACACTAATTTATCCAGGGTCGCCGTCAATAATGGCTGATCCCTGGCCATGACCCCAACTCTCCGAGAGTGTCTCAGGGGGAGTGGGATATGCAAAAAACACATTTCCATTTAACACCACACACTTGTACAGGGACTTGTGTGAAACAGGACAAATACAAGCACGCCCTATGTGATCAAGTGACATTATGGCCCTCTGATCAGAAGGTATTGTGATGCCTACACGGTTGAGCCAACCTGGTTAATGGAAGTCTGTTGGGCTGTAATGTAACCCCACCCTAGTTTGTTCAAGGCATTCAGAAGTTGTTTGATTACAGCTTTGTTAATCCTGTTCAGACAGACAGATCTTATTTCAGTGTGTCTGTCAGATCCAAGCTAACTGGATACTGTAGCACTAGTGAACATAGAAGGCCTCATCATCTCTGAGCATGTCTGCCATCTGGAGCTCTTTTAATTTGCTTATCATATTCACTGCCAGGTACAGTAAGGCTGAGGCTGGCAGCCAGGGTGCCTTTGTGTTCCTACTGGTCTGCCTGTTGGGCCTGCTGTCACCTGTTTGACTGGCTCTCTGTCTAGGATTTTCATGTTTTTTAGGTTCCTTTACTCTTTGTCCAAAATGTCTTCGGCTGCAGTGAAACTACATCTTGAGAATGGACTAATTCGGCCTATAAAATAATCTATAGGCTAATTAATAAGCAATAACAGTTGATGGAAGAGTAGTCAAGGTGTTGTCCCGGGTCTTGTTCCTCTGTGTTCGTTGTATAGACACGTTATCCTCTGGTGACTCCAGAGTATTTAGGTTTAGTTCTGTCTGTCTGTCTGTCTGTCTGTCTGTCTGTCTGTCTGTCTGTCTGTCTGTCTGTCTGTCTGTCTTTGTCTGTCTGTCTGTCTGTCTGTCTGTCTGTCTGTCTGTCTGTCTGTCTGTCTGTCTGTCTGTCTGTCTGTCTGTCTGTCTGTCTGTCTGTCTGTCTGTCTGTCTGTCTGTCTGTCTGTCTGTCTGTCTGTCTGTCTGTCTGTCTGTCTGTCTGTCTGTCTGTCTGTCTGTCTGTCTGTCTGTCTGTCTGTCTGTCTGTCTGTCTGTCTGTCTGTCTGTCTGTCTGTCTGTCTGTCTGTCTGTCTGTCTGTCTGTCTGTCTGTCTGTCTGTCTGTCTGTCTGTCTGTCTGTCTGTCTGTCTGTCTGTCTGTCTGTCTGTCTGTCTGTCTGTCTGTCTGTCTGTCTGTCTGTCTGTCTGTCTGTCTGTCTGTCCTGTCTGTCTGTCTGTCTGTCTGTCTGTCTGTCTGTCTGTCTGTCTGTCTGTCTGTCTGTCTGTCTGTCTGTCTGTCTGTCTGTCTGTCTGTCTGTCTGTCTGTCTGTCTGTCTGTCTGTCTGTCTTTCTTTCTTTCTTTCACCATTTTGGACGCAGCCAGAGAAAGAATGGAGACTAAACTGCAAAGAGTTTGAAGAGAGACATTGGTAGAGCAGCACCCACCACCTTATCAAATGATCTAATGTACAGAATGTCAAGACCGAGGCATTCTGTCCACTGGTTTTTATTTATAACTCCCCAACTCTAACGTGGTGCCAACTGTGGTGAAGGCCGACTGGACCGTAACTGTGGTGAAGGTCGGCTGTTCCGTAACTGTGGTGAAGGCCGACTGGACCGTAACTGTGGTGAAGGTCGGCTGTTCCGTAACTGTGGTGAAGGCCGACTGGACCGTAACTGTGGTGAAGGTCGGCTGTTCCGTAACTGTGGTGAAGGCCGACTGGACCGTAACTGTGGTGAAGGTCGGCTGTTCCGTAACTGTGGTGAAGGTCGGCTGTTCCGTAACTGTGGTGAAGGCCGACTGGACCGTAACTGTGGTGAAGGTCGGCTGTTCCGTAACTGTGGTGAAAGCCGGCTGGTCCGTAACTGTGGTGAAGGTCGGCTGGACCGTAACGGTGGTGAAGGCCGACTGGACCGTAACTGTGGTGAAGGCCGACTGGACCGTAACTGTGGTGAAGGCCGACTGGACCGTAACTGTGGTGAAGGCCGACTGGACCGTAACTGTGGTGAAGTCCGACTGGACCGTGTGAATAGATTTAGTTGTTGTGTGGAGCAGAGTCAGTCAGTGTTTTGAAAGCTGAGGGAGGGAGACAAGTGAATGCCTTGTTTTGAATGCTTCTGACTTGACATTCTGGAGATGGGATCTTTTGATAAGGTGGTGGCTGCTGCTCTACAAATGTCTCTATTCAAGCTCTTTAGTCTTGGGCTCAGGGACAAGAGATGATACAGACTCATTGCTGAAGTTGAATGCAACATGGACAGTAAGCATAGGAGGATCCCCGCCCCATGTGCCGAGTCAGATATAGTCCTACCATGCCTCCCGTCAATCACTGTATATCTGTATTGATCTCATTGTTTACTTCAGCCTCTGACAGAAAATATTTACATGAAGGCTGGCCTGGTGCACTGCTGCGTGTGTCTTGCTGGTGATGAATCCAATGTCCCCTTGTGGGATTGATACAGTTTAGACCATTCAATTCAAAGTCTTTAAACCCAGATGCTGCTGATACATTTACATGCTGTCCATCTCTGTAGCATGGTCTCTTCCTTGACTGAACTGTTTTTAGTTTTGGCCGTGCGGGTGTGGAGTGTTACTGTCAGCATGACAGTGGTGCGGCTGTCATCCAGCTTCAGTTCCTGGTCAACGAGGTGAGTCCCACTGGTAAAGTTGGATGTTCACCCTCTATCCAACGCTATGGTCCCACTCCCCAGCAGCACTTCCCAGGGCTCTGTCTCAACAGTCTTTACTTGATTCCTTGTGTCCTCTCTCTCTGTTCTCACCTCTTTCTCAAAACGCATTTGAGAAGAATGTCAGAGGGGAGGATTCTTCGGTCTTCTCCTCCAGTGCGTTTTGAGAAGGAATCGAGGAGAAAGCCAGACATTATGGAATCGAGGAAATACTATTGAGAAAGTCCCGGATTGTATCATTGCCTTATCTCTTCAGACTTAGTTGTCCATCCCTCAGCCCAGTTCCTCTCCGTATAGGTCCGTAACTTATCGTCTCACTAGCATGCACTACAGTCAGACATTATGTTAACCATCTGTTTGAAATGTGCTTTTAGTGAACACGTTGATTAAACAGTAATGTAGGCTTTGTGGAAGCAAGACTCTCTGTAATGGGTTCTTTATTGTATGGACCTGATTATCTCTTAATCAGCCCTGCCTCTGTCTCTGACCTGTCCTGTTAGCATGTTTACTGCTGTTTCTTATAGTATTAGATATGTGGCGGTATTATAACCTATTATAACCCCTGTCAACAGGGGGCGCTGGTGAGTGCCTTAGCTGATGACAGCGTTCACCTGTGGAACCTGAGGCAGAAGCAGCCAGCTATCCTGCACACTCTCAAATTCAACAGGGAGAGGTACGTAGGGAAAATGTAAACAGTGGTCGTATTTGAGCTAAAGCTGTAGCTACACTATATATACAGCAGTATGTGGACACCCGTTCAAATTAGTGGATTCTATTTCAGCCACACCTGTTGCTGACAGGTGTATAAAATCGAGCACACAGCCATGCAATCTCCATAGACAAACATTGGCAGTAGAATGGCCTTACTGAAGAGCTCAGTGACTTTCAACGTGGCACCGTCATAGGATGCCACCTTTCCAACAAGTCAGTTTGTAACATTTCTGCCCTGCTAGAGATGCCCAGGTCAACTGTAGGTGCTGTTATTGTGAAGTGGAAACGTCTAGGAGCAACAACGGCTCAGCCGCGAAGTGGTGGCCACACAAGTTCACAGAACGGGACCGCCGAGTGCTGAAGAGCATAAAAATAGTCTGTCCTTGGTTGCAACACTCACTACCGAGTTTCAAACTGCCTCTGGAAGCAACGTCAGCACAAAAACTGTTTGTCGGGAGCTTCATGAAATGGGTTTCCATGGCAGAGCAGCCGCACACAAGCCTAAGATCACTATGCGCAATGACAAGCGTCGGCTGGAGTGGTGTAAAGCTCGCCGCCATTGGACTCTGGAGCAGTGGAAACGGGTTCTCTGGAGTGACAAATCATGCTTCACCATCTGGCAGTCCGAAGGACGAATCTGGGTTTGGCAGATGCAAGGAGAACGCTACCTTCCCGAATGCATAGTGCCAACCGTAAAGTTTGGTGGAGGAGGAATAATGGTCTGGGGCTGTTTTTCATGGTTCGGGCTAGGCCCCTTAGTTCCAGTGAAGGGACATTGTAACGCTACAGCATACATTTTACATTCTAGTCATTTAGCAGACGCTCTTATCCAGAGCGACTTACAGTTAGTGAGTGCATACATTTTTCATACTGGCTCCCCGTGGGAATCGAACCCACAACCCTGGCGTTGCAAGCGCCATGTTCTACCAACTGAGCTACATTCTAGACGATGTGCTTCCAACGTTGTGGCAACAGTTTGGGGAAGGCACTATCCTGTTTCAGCATGACAATGCCCCTGTGCACAAAGCAAGGTCCATACAGAAATGGTTTGTCGAGATCGGTGTGGAAGAACTTGACTGGCATTCACAGAGCCCTGACATCAAGCCCATCGAACACCTTTGGGATGAATTGGAACGGCGACTGCGAGCCAGGCCTAATCGCCCAACATCAGTGCCCGACCTCACTAATGTTCTTGTGGCTGAATGGAAGCAAGTCCCCGCAGCAATGTTCCAACATCTAGTGGAAAGCCTTCCCAGAAGAGAGGAGGCTGTTGTAGCAGCAAAGGGGGGACCAACTCCATGTTAATGCCCATGATTCTGGAATGAGATGTTCGACGAGCAGGTGTCCACATAGGCTAACTTACACCCAGATATTAAATATTCCCTTTTTAATATTTTCTATTGTCTTGTTTCACACTCTATAGTTGTGTCTGTGTCCCAAATGGTACCCACCCTATTCCCTATATAGTGCACTTCGTTTGACCAGGGCCAATCAAAGTAAGGCTTTATATATTGAATAGGGTTCCATTTGGTACTCCATGTTGCTGCTGGATAGTAACCATGTTCTGTCTGCTTGTAATGTTATATCGTTGGTTTTATTCCAATGAAAGACTTCTTAAGGGCCAGTGTGTGCGTCCAAATGGGACCCTATTCCTTTAATAGTGGACAACTTTTGAACAGGCCCCAGAGGGCTCTAGTCAAAAGTAGTGCACTGTATAGGGAATAGGGTCCCATTTGGACGCAGTCAGTCGCTTGCTGACAGATATGAATTCATGCTACTCGCTGCCCTCTCTGTATGCAAATGTTATGCTACAATGTGCTTTTATTATATACCCTTCTCTTATGAATGTGTTATAAAGCGATCACCTATCACATAATGTCCCTTGTTTGGATAGAAAGGATGACCTATAACCAAATATATGTTTTAATGTGTATATAAAGCGATCAAATTATGACACTACACTTTATGTAGTTATGTTTGTTGAAGTAACTTAGCAATCATATACTGTTTCTCATTAAACGTTTTACATTATTCCCTCTCATTTTGGCAGGATCATGATAAAATTTGATTAAGTTTATTATTTTATTTTTTGTTGAGGTTTATTGTGGTGTTGAGGTTTATTGTGATGTTGAGCTTTATTGTGTATTGTGGTGTTGAGGTTTATTGTGTTGAGCTTTATTGTCATGGTGAGGTTTATTGTCATATTGAGGTTTATTGTCATGTTGAGGTTTATTGTCATGTTGAGGTTTATTGTCATGGTGAGGTTTATTGTCATGTTGAGGTTTGTCGTATTGAGGTTTATTGTCATGGTGAGGTTAATTGTCATGGTGAGGTTTATTGTCATGGTGAGGTTTATTGTCATGTTGAGGTTTAAAGGTTTATTGTCATGTTGAGGTTTATTGTCATGGTGAGGTTTATTGTCATGGTGAGGTTTGTCATGGTGAGGTTTATTGTCATGGTGAGGTTTATTGTCATGTTGAGGTTTTAGGTGTTCATGTTGGAGGTTTATTGTCATGTTGAGGTTTATTGTCATGGTGAGGTTTATTGTCATGGTGAGGTTTATTGTCATGTTGAGGTTTATTGTCATGTTGAGGTTTATTGTCATGGTGAGGTTTATTGTCATGGTGAGGTTTATTGTCATGGTGAGGTTTATTGTCATGGTGAGGTTTATTGTCATGTTGAGGTTTAAAGGTTCATTGTCATGTTGAGGTTTATTGTCATGGTGAGGTTTATTGTCATGGTGAGGTTTATTGTCATGGTGAGTAGTGTTTATTGTCATGGTGAGGTTTATTGTCATGGTGAGGTTTATTGGTCATGTTGAGGTTTATGTCATGTGAGGTTTATTGTCATGGTGAGGTTATTGTCATGGTGAGGTTTATGTCATGGTGAGGTTTATTGTCATGGTGAGGTTTATTGTCATGGTGAGGTTTAAAGGTTTATTGTCATGTTGAGGTTTATTGTCATGGTGAGGTTTATTGTCATGGTGAGGTTTATTGTCATGGTGAGGTTTATTGTCATGGTGAGGTTTATTGTCATGGTGAGGTTTATTGTCATGGTGAGGTTTAAAGGTTTATTGTCATGTTGAGGTTTATTGTCATGTTGAGGTTTATTGTCATGGTGAGGTTTATTGTCATGGTGAGGTTTATTGTCATGGTGAGGTTTATTGTCATGGTGAGGTTTATTGTCATGGTGAGGTTTATTGTCATGGTGAGGTTGTGCCTTTGTGCTTATTTTTATTCTTGTTTTATTTGTAATGTTAATTTTTCTTCCTGTTTGTGAGAACTCGGGGCACCATTGGGAATGAGACCCTGGTCTCAATTGGGCTACTCGGAATAAAAAAAAGTCTGAAATGGAACCCTGTTCCCCATGTTGTGCACTACTTTTGACTAGAGCCTTATGGTCCCTGGTCAAAAGTAGTGCACTATATACGGAATAGGGTGTCATTTGGGAGGCACCTCTTGATTGATTAATCACCCTTTGTGCCAACAGGATCACGTTTTGTCACCTGCCCTTCCAGAGTAAATGGCTGTACATCGGAACAGAGAAAGGAAACATCCACATCGTCAACGTTGAGTCTTTCACACTCTCAGGCTACGTCATTATGTGGAACAAAGCCATCGAACTGTGAGTCTGCCTGTCTGCCTTAATACTACTTGGGTTTCTATGTTTACATCCCAAATAACATCCTATTACCGTACCTATGGGCTCTGGTCAAAAGTAGTGCACTATACAAGGAATATGGTGCCATTTGGGACGCATCCTGTGTCCCGTGTGCGTCCTGTGTGGCTCAGTTGGTAGAGCAAGGCGCTTGCAACGCCAGAGTTGTGGGTTCGATTCCCACGGGGGACAAGTTATGCCCTTGACAGCTTGGGAAGTTGGAATGTAAACCGGAAAGAAGAATTTAAGGAGATAATAATGTTGCATTGTTCGATTCACACAGACGGTAGAAGCCAAGAATGTTAAGAGTGAGGCTGTTCCCTCCATCTCTCCTTGTTCCCCCTCAGGTCCTCCAAGTCACACCCTGGGCCTGTGGTCCACATCAGTGATAACCCCATGGACGAGGGAAAGGTAGGAACTTCCCAAAGAACCATCAATCAATCAATTATTCATTGATTCCAGAGCTTCAGAACATTGCTGATGATTTACAACATGCTTCTAAAAATCAAATTCTTAAAAAGGAAAATAATCATGTTGCTTGTTATTGTGGCAGATTTTGATTGGATTTGAATGTGGGACTGTGGTGTTGTGGGACCTGAAATGCAAAAAAGCTGACTACCGCTACAATCATGATGAGGTAAGGCATCTTTCTATGGTTGTTGGTTCCTGTGGGGACTGACTGGGGAGAGAGGAAGTTGCATTTAGACTGATTATGTAACACTATTGGAAAAAGAATGTGTTAGAGAGCTCCTTTTCTGAATGTCTTGAGATCCACATCACAACTTGTTGTTATTATTTCCCGCTGTTTCTTCTTCTCTGTGTATCTTTATCCTCCAGGCTATCCACTCAGTACACACTGTGTTTATTCTTCTCTGTGTATCTTTATCCTCCAGGCTATCCACCCAGTACACACTGTGTTTCTTCTTCTCTGTGTATCTTTATCCTCCAGGCTATCCACTCAGTACACACTGTGTTTCTCCTTCTTCTCTGTGTATCTTTATCCTCCAGGCTATCCACTCAGTACACACTGTGTTTCTCCTTATTCTCTGTGTATCATTATCCTCCAGGCTCTCCACTCAGTACACACTGTGTTTCTTCTTCTTCTCTGTGTATCTTTATCCTCCAGGCTATCCACTCAGTACACACTGTGTTTCTCCTTCTTCTCTGTGTATCTTTATCCTCCAGGCTATCCACTCAGTACACACTGTGTTTCTTCATCTTTCTGTGTATCTGCTTAACGATTACAGGTTGACACAGGAGTGAAAAATCATACCTGTCCCGTCTTGTCCTGTCAACATTTTTCCCGTACTGTCCTGATCCCGCAACAGTTCTATAACCCCGGAACTTTCCTGTCCCGTCCCAATAAAAATCACTCCCCTCCCGTGCAAATTTTTACGCGCAGAAATAACTTCCTCTGTTAGCTGCTCGTCTGTCTGTCCCAGCTCTGCATGTGAGTAACCATAGCAACTGCTCCGTTTTGGCTGCTGCTCACTACTCACCAGACAGTAGCCTGCCCTGCACACACAGCTGATAACAACTAAATTACCAGATTTTGGCAATGAAGGCAGCCCTCTTCTACTTATTCAGAGTCAGATGAACTCATGATATGGACATATGCATTTGTGTATGTCTCCGCCTGCATTTTGAAGGAACTATTGGGCTTGACCGGTAACGTTGTTGGTAGTAGAGCAGCTAGGCGTGTACTCGGTTCCTTCATGCCAAACACAACTCTAATACATTTTGTTAAAACATCGCTCTTTCTTTTTAATGGCTTTAATGTTAGTGATGGGTCCTTGGCTGCAACGAGATGTTGCAATTCCTCTCTTGAAGGAATCATCATCATTCACTGACGTACGTTGGCATCTGAGGTAAAGTAGTGACTGGCTACACTTGGAGCGAGGAGCGAGAGTGAGCCGACAGAAGGGGAAAGGGGAACTGACCATAGATTCTTTAAGTAGATTTTTATGAAGTAAACTATAATGGGCCTACACACAGTATTTATTTATTTTATGAAATGCTCCACACATTACATAGTCCTGTTCCTGTGTCAACCTTTAGTATCCTCCCCTCTTTCAGGCCATCCACTCAGTAGCCTGGCACCATGAGGGAAAACAGTTCACCTGCAGCCACTCAGATGGAACTCTGACCACATGGAATGTACGGGTCCCCGCCAAGCCTACAATCACCATCACACCACACGGTATGTTCTGATGCACACACAGACAACACCAGGGGTCTCAATGGCATCAGGAAGACAGATGGATGGAAACAGCACAACATACGAAAGCATGCCCAAATTAGTCCGATAATAGACTATGGCTACAATATGTTAATGTGTGCTTTTAATTGCATGTGTTTAGTACAGTTGTATTTATCATTGTACAGAAAATTTTGTTTTTTTCTGTGCACAATTCCCTCCCAGGTAAGCAGCCCAAGGATGGAAAGAAGCCAGAACCATGCAAACCTATCCTCAAAGTGGAGTATAAAACGACTAGAGCTGGGTGAGTGGTTGGTTGTCCTAATATCCAGAAAGGCATGACCATGTGATCTGTCTTGGTTATTTATTGAACGTCTTTATTTCGTACCCAGGGACGCCTTCATGGTCATGTCTGGAGGCCTGTCCTATGACACGGGGTGCAGGAGGTCCTGTCTGACGGTGATACATGGGAAGAGTACTGCCATCCTGGAGATGGACTATCCCATCGTAGACTTCCTCACGCTCTGCGAAACACCTTATCCTAATGGTGAGTTACAGTATAGCACTGTTACTGAAACACCTTATCCTAATGGTGAGTTACAGTATAGCACTGTTACTGAAACACCTTATCCTAATGGTGAGTTACAGTATAGCACTGTTACTGAAACACCTTATCCTAATGGTGAGTTACAGTATAGCACTGTTACTGAAACACCTTATCCTAATGGTGAGATATACAGTATAGCACTGTTACTGAAACACCTTATCCTAATGGTGAGTTACAGTATAGCACTGTTACTGAAACACCTTATCCTAATGGTGAGTTACAGTATAGCACTGTTACTGAAACACCTTATCCTAATGGTGAGTTACAGTATAGCACTGTTACTGAAACACCTTATCCTAATGGTGAGTTACAGTATAGCACTGTTACTGAAACACCTTATCCTAATGGTGAGTTACAGTATAGCACTGTTACTGAAACACCATATCCTAATGGTGAGTTACAGTATAGCACTGTTACTGAAACACCTTATCCTAATGGTGAGTTACAGTATAGCACTGTTACTGAAACACCTTATCCTAATGGTGAGTTACAGTATAGCACTGTTACTGAAACACCTTATCCTAATGGTGAGTTACAGAATAGCACTGTTACTGAAACACCTTATCCTAATGGTGAGTTACAGTATAGCACTGTTACTGAAACACCTTATCCTAATGGTGAGTTACAGTATAGCACTGTTACTGAAACACCTTATCCTAATGGTGAGTTACAGAATAGCACTGTTACTGAAACACCTTATCCTAATGGTGAGTTACAGTATAGCACTGTTACTGAAACACCTTATCCTAATGGTGAGTTACAGTATAGCACTGTTACTGAAACACCTTATCCTAATGGTGAGTTACAGAATAGCACTGCTACTGAAACACCTTATCCTAATGGTGAGTTACAGTATAGCACTGTTACTGAAACACCTTATCCTAATGGTGAGTTACAGTATAGCACTGTTACTGAAACACCTTATCCTAATGGTGAGTTACAGTATAGCACTGTTACTGAAACACCTTATCCTAATGGTGAATTACAGTATAGCACTGTTACTGAAACACCTTATCCTAATGGTGAGTTACAGTATAGCACTGTTACTGAAACACCTTTATCCTAATGGTGAGTTACAGTATAGCACTGTAACTGAAACACCTTATCCTAATGGTGAGTTACAGTATAGCACTGTTACTGAAACACCTTATCCTAATGGTGAATTACAGTATAGCACTGTTACTGAAACACCTTATCCTAATGGTGAGTTACAGTATAGCACTGTTACTAAAACACCTTTATCCTAATGGTGAGTTACAGTATAGCACTGTTACTGAAACACCTTATCCTAATGGTGAGTTACAGTATAGCACTGTTACTGAAACACCTTATCCTAATGGTGAGTTACAGTATAGCACTGTCACTGAAACACCTTATCCTAATGGTGAGTTACAGTATAGCACTGTTACTGAAACACCTTATCCTAATGGTGAATTACAGTATAGCACTGTTACTGAAACACCTTATCCTAATGGTGAGTTACAGTATAGCACTGTTACTAAAACACCTTTATCCTAATGGTGAGTTACAGTATAGCACTGTTACTGAAACACCTTATCCTAATGGTGAGTTACAGTATAGCACTGTGACTGAAACACCTTATCCTAATGGTGAGTTACAGTATAGCACTGTTACTGAAACACCTTATCCTAATGGTGAGGTTACAGTATAGCACTGTTACTGAAACACCTTATCCTAATGGTGAGGTTACAGAATAGCACTGTTACTGAAACACCTTATCCTAATGGTGAGTTACAGTATAGCACTGTTACTGAAACACCTTATCCTAATGGTGAGGTTACAGAATAGCACTGTTACTGAAACACCTTATCCTAATGGTGAGTTACAGTATAGCACTGTTACTGAAACACCTTATCCTGATGGTAAGTAACAGTATTATAGCACTGTTACTGAAACACCATATCCTAACGCCTCGATCACACCGACAGCGTCATTGCGTTTTGGTACACCAGAGGTACATTCATTTCCAATGGAACGCTGCGTTTGCCTTGCAGCATTGCGTTGCAGAGGCAGTTGCAGTGCGTTCTGTGTGGTGCATACGTTGGATTTATCGAACATATGCGTCAAACTGTATGCGTAGACGGCTTGACAGAAATGGTAGCAGAAGGTGAATGTTGAACTTTTGTTGCACACATATCCAGATGATGCTGCGTACCATGTTGCGCAATGACGCTGTCGGTGTGATTGAGGCGTAATGGTAAATGACAGTATAATAGCACTGTGACTGAAACACCTTATCCTAATGGTGAGTTACAGTATAGCACTGTGACTGAAACACCTTATCCTAATGGTGAGTTACAGTATAGCACTGTGACTGAAACACCATATCCTAATGGTGAGTTACAGTATAGCACTGTGACTGAAACACCTTATCCTAATGGTGAGTTACAGTATAGCACTGTTACTGAAACACCTTATCCTAATGGTGAGTTACAGTATAGCACTGTGACTGAAACACCTTATCCTAATGGTGAGTTACAGTATAGCACTGTGACTGAAACACCTTATCCTAATGGTGAGTTACAGTATAGCACTGTGACTGAAACACCATATCCTAATGGTGAGTTACAGTATAGCACTGTGACTGAAACACCTTATCCTAATGGTGAGTTACAGTATAGCACTGTGACTGAAAAACCTTATCCTAATGGTGAGTTACAGTATAGCACTGTGACTGAAACACCTTATCCTAATGGTGAGTTACAGTATAGCACTGTGACTGAAACACCTTATCATAATGGTGAGTTACAGTATAGCACTGTGACTGAAACACCTTATCCTAATGGTGAGTTACAGTATAGCACTGTGACTGAAACACCATATCCTAATGGTGAGTTACAGTATAGCACTGTGACTGAAACACCTTATCCTAATGGTGAGTTACAGTATAGCACTGTGACTGAAACACCTTATCCTAATGGTGAGTTACAGTATAGCACTGTGACTGAAACACCATATCCTAATGGTGAGTTACAGTATAGCACTGTGACTGAAACACCATATCCTAATGGTGAGTTACAGTATAGCACTGTGACTGAAACACCATATCCTAATGGTGAGTTACAGTATAGCACTGTGACTGAAATACCATATCCTAATGGTGAGTTACAGTATAGCACTGTGACTGAAACACCATGCTTCCATAGTGTTCATCTGTATCTGTCAAAATTCAGTTTGAAATGCAAATTGGATAAGGATACATTTTGGCAGCTTATGCTTCCATGTTTAACACTGTCCTTAGGAAAAAAAATGTATCAAGAAAGTTGAATGTTGTTTTTTTCTGCTTCCTCACAGATTTCCAGGAGCCTTATGCTGTAGTTGTCCTCTTGGAAAAGGATTTAGTTGTCATCGACCTTGGACAAATTGGGTGAGTCTTGTAGTTACAATATGCTACAGTATGCTTACTTTCATGATTACTAATGTTGGCACGATGCATGGAACGATGGCCTGCTGTTTGCTAACTTCAGTAGTAGGGCAGAGGGGTTGGAATAAAAACAGAAGCCAAGTTTCCATTGGACATCCGTGTACATTAGACCAATAAAGTAATCTTCTAAATCTCATCAATCTCTTTTTTCCCTTTTGATTGACAGGTACCCAATATTTGAGAACCCGTACCCTCTGTCGATCCACGAGTCTCCAGTGACGTGCGTGGAGTACTTTGCTGACTGCCCTCCTGAACTCATACCTGCACTTTACTCTGTGGGCTCCCGGCAAAACAGGCAGGGTTACAGTAAGAAGGTAATGTGTCCCACTTTTAAAAAACGGTTATAGCGTATGGCAGTTCTATTATTTTGAATCGTGTCTATGTGGTCACAAGGTTATTGTTGTGTACTAAACCCTTTTTTTTTGTATTTCCAGGAATGGCCTATAAGTGGTGGTAACTGGGGTCAAGGCACACTGAGCTACCCTGAGATCATCATCACTGGGTGAGTACCTACCGAACACCTGAAGGCTGGCACGGAAACCATAGAGATCCTATAATTCTATACGGAATTCTTTAGACGTCTATGTCCACAACACATACCTAACATTAACTGTATTACCATTATGTATTTACGACGTGTTTACAAACAAAGCTTGTTCCCGGCTTCCTTTTTTGCAATGAACAGACATGCTGATGGATCAATCAAGTTTTGGGACGCTTCTGCAAGTGAGTATGTTGTTTAATTTGATTCCTTCGATTATATAGTTGGATGAAATAAGAATACCACAACGGTTCGTCCATTTTGTGAATACATTTTATTAATTTGTGTACAGTATGTAGACCCAATGATACCTGTAGATCAATGCTCATAGTTCATTATAATATACATTAACATTATATTTTATTCATTTAGCAGATGCTCTTATCCAGATCGACTTACAGGAGCAATTAGGGTTAAGTGCCTTGCTCAAGGGCACATGGACAGATTTTTCACCAAGTCGGCTCTGGGATTCGAACAAGCGACGCGTTACTGGCCCAACACTCTTAACCACTAGACTACCTGCCACCCCATTGTCCCCCTTCCTCTGTCCTAGTAATGCTCCAAGTACTGTACAAACTGAAGACTGCCAAGGTGTTTGAGAAGGCTCTAAAGGGCGGTAAGGAGGAGAAGCCGAGCACAGAGATAGTGGATGAGGATCCCTTTGCCATCCAGACCTTGTCGTGGTGCCCAGAGAGCAGAGTGCTGTGTGTGGCCGGAGTCTCAGCCCACGTCATCATCTATAGGTTCAGCAAACAGGAAATGACCACAGAGGTGGTGCAGGTAACCATAGCAACTCAATATTAGCAAGGTGTTCCTAATGTTTTGTACACTGTTTTATTGTATACCAGGATGTGTTGGTGTATTACAGGGATGTGTGGGTGTATACCAAGGATGTGTGGGTGTATTACAGGGATGTGTGGGTGTATACCAAGGATGTGTGGGTGTATTACAGGGATGTGTGGGTGTATACCAAGGATGTGTGGGTGTATTACAGGGATGTGTGGGTGTATACCAGGGATGTGTGGGTGTATACCAGGGATGTGTGGGTGTATACCAGGGATGTGTGGGTGTATACCAGGGATGTGTGGGTGTATACCAGGGATGTGTGGGTGTATACCAGGGATGTGTGGGTGTATACCAGGGATGTGTGGGTGTATACCAGGGATGTGAGGGTGTATTACAGGGATGTGTGGGTGTATTACAGGGATGTGTGGGTGTATACCAGGGATGTGTGGGTGTATACCAGGGATGTGTGGGTGTATACCAGGGATGTGTGGGTGTATTACAGGGATGTGTGGGTGTATACCAGGGATGTGTGGGTGTATACCAGGGATGTGTGGGTGTATTACAGGGATGTGTGGGTGTATACCAGGGGTGTGTGGGTGTATTACAGGGATGTGTTTTTTACCTGACTAATCAGGAATTCCTGCTTTTCTGGAATCACCTGCTATTGATAACAAATTCAACTTTTCCAATTCCTAATTTATTACATTTATCTTTGATATTTTTCCTGATTTTCCGTGTTCCCGGCTATTAATATCCCTGTTTTAGTGTTTATGTTTATAGATAATATTACTAGATATTTGTGCTCTCTCTCTCCTCAGCTGTTGGAGGTGCGTATGCAGGGTGAGCTGAACGATGTGGATTCTCCAGACCCAGCAGGAGACCATCCTCCCACCCCCTCTACCCCAGTACCCCCCTCCTCCTCCAGCCCCACCCAGGAGGGAGAGCCCCCTGAGGCCCAGCCCTTCACCTCTGATGACGGGCCCAGAGATAACGTACCATGCCTCAAGTATGGACCACCAGACAGTGCATGTTCTTTTCCTGCCAGGCGTTGACATTTTCTATTGTAGACTTCAAAACTCCAATATTCTGTTTTATTACAAAAAGTGCCATCCATGAAGATAATATAATAATATGTAGGCTATTTGTATGTAAGATTAATGCACATACAAATGCATGCAAATGCATTATAAACAGTGAACAATAGGTGATGGTGTAGCGGTGTATCTAGATACAGTAAGGACTGTTCACTGCATGTTGTCTGGTGTGTCGTGTCTCTGCAGGGTCCGGAGCTCCCCTCTGAAGCAGTCTCCTGGGTACCAGGTGGAGCTGGTCATTCAGCTGGTCTGGGTTAGTGGGGAGCCGCCTCAGCAGATCACCAGCCTGGCCGTCAACTCCTCATATGGACTGTAAGTCTGTCCGTCCGTCCGTCTGTCTGTCAGTATGAAACACTGGTCAAGGTGTACATTAGACACATCACCTACTGTTGAATTCATGCAGCGAGCAGAGATCACAGACAAATGGAATATACTGTAATATTAATTTTTTGGTCCACCAGCCACTGTGGCAGGTAGATTTAAAAATCTACCAGCCACTCAGATGTTTTACCAGCCAAAATGTTTTTTTTTTGTGACCTGAGTCTTTTAACCAAAATATCACAGATTAGACAAAAATGTTCACCTGCCCCTTTAAGGTCTTGAGGTTACCCCAGGAGCGCAACTCCAGTCATGTTTGTGCCTGTGTGATTGAGTCTGACTAATAGAGGCGTTGTCTTCTCTTCCCTAGCAGTTGAAACTCAAACATAGAAATACAACCTGGCTTGTGAACAAAACAATGTAAATAGCCAAGAAACACAAGGACAAAGTCTCACTTCAGTAGACTTTTATTTCAAGTAAATTAGACCAACCTTTATGCCTGTGCCAGTGCTTCTAAGAAATGAATATTTCACTCAGCTCTTCACTTGCACACAGCTATGGAGCGAGATACCTGCCAAAAGGTTTAACGTACGTATCTTAAGGATAGTAAGAAAATCCATACGGAAACTGTTAGGATCGTATGAAAAGCCATGCGTGAAACATTAAATGTAAACGTGAAATTTCATCTGTGAACATACAAACACTGTGTTACGATTACGGACTAACATTTTAGGCTTGAACTAATCTTGTGTTGCAATTCTGACATACAATAATACCTTTCAGAGTTTTGGCAGTTTCATCTCACCAACAAAAAATACGTACAATAAACAGTATAAAAGACGGAAGTCATGGAAACCGGAAAGAGGCATCGTGCATGTTTTCAAGTTAAAAGTCTCCATTCTCTGTTACTCCTCAGTTGAGTTTACTTCACATTTAGGTAGCTAATGTAATAGATTTGTTTACCAGCGCAAGTCTAGATAGCACCAGCTGTATTATGCCTACAACAGTGACGTTTCAGTCCGCTAGGTCAGTGGTTCCTGACCTGGGGTCCGCGCCCCCATTAGGCATGATCTCAGTCGCTTTGAGGTCAAACATGCATAACATTTTCCACTATAATTTAATTGTAAAATTAATACATTTTTAAATGTTATTAAAAATCCTATGCTTGCAATGCCAAGGCCAATCTAAAAAATAACAATAATGGCAGAGAAATGTAAAAGCGGGAATTCCACGTCAATGACCTGCGCTCAATCAATTTCAGCTAGCAGCTTGTTTTTCCTGCAGTCAGAGCAAATAAAATTTAATACAATTTTATTGGCCACATGCGCCGAATACAACAGGTGCAGACATTACAGTGAAATGCTTACTTACAGCCCTTAACCAACAGTGCATTTATTTTTAATAAAAAAGTAAAATAAAACAACAACAAAAAAGTGTTGAGAAAAAAAGAGCAGAAGTAAAATAAAATAACAGTAGGGAGGCTATATATACAGGGGGGTACCGGTGCGGGGGCACTGGCTAGTTGAGGTAGTTGAAGTAATATGTACATGTGGGTAGAGTTAAAGTGACTATGCATAAATAATTAACAGAGTAGCAGCAGCGTAAAAAGATGGGGTGGGGGGTGGGGTGGGGGGGCAGTGCAAATAGTCCGGGTAGCCATGATTAGCTGTTCAGGAGTCTTATGGCTTGGGGGTAGAAGCTGTTGAGAAGTCTTTTGGACCTAGACTTGGCACTCCGGTACCGCTTGCCGTGTGGTAGCAGAGAGAACAATCTATGACTAGGGTGGCTGGAGTCTTTGACAATTTTGAGGGCCTTCCTCTGACACCGCCTGGTATAGAGGTCCTGGATGGCAGGAAGCTTGGCCCCAGTGATGTACTGGGCCGTACGCACTACCCTCTGTAGTGCCTTGCGGTCGGAGGCCAAGCAGTTGCCATACCAGGTGGTAATGCAACCTGTCAGGATGCTCTCGATGGTGCAGCTGTAGAATTATTTGAGGATCTGAGGACCCATGCCAAATCTTTTCAGTCTCCTGAGGGGGAATAGGCTGTGCCCTGTTCACGACTGTCTTGGTGTGTTTGGACCATGATAGTTCGTTGGTGATGTGGACACCAAGGAACTTGAAGCTCTCAACCTGTTCCACATTTTATGAATAAAACAACATGTCTAAGAAACGTAAAAGTGCTGATGACTCATCATCAAAAAAGAAAGTAAGGCTATATCTTGAGAGTTATCTTAACTTCGGTTTTATTGAAGGACAGGACAGGACTCGGCCAGAATGTGTCATTTGTGGCGAAAAGCTAGCTAGTGATAGCATGAAGCCAAGCAAAATGCAACGACACCAGGAAACAAAACACCAGGAGACTATTGGTGAAGGTCAGGATTTTTTTGAGAGGAAGAAGAAGTTGGCACTATTAAAAAGATCACACAGACACCAGCTGTGTGAGGATGAAGCGCATCAAACACTGCTGTTACACACAGAGGTACGCTGGTTGTCACATGGACAAGTGCTTTTGCGTTTTATGGAACTGCAGGAAAAAATAAAGGAATTCTTGCAAGATCACGATCGACCACTGTGCGAACAGCTGACTGATGCATTTTGGATCAAAACAGCATACCTAGCGGATACATTCACTCTCTACAATGAGACAAACAAGCAGATGCAGGGTCCTGAATCAAACGTCATGCACTGCAAAGACGCTCTCGACGCTTTTGTGCGGAAATTGGAGTACAGAGTTGGAAAAATGTCAAAAGGGGAGCTAGAACAATTTCCACTGCTGATGAAACAGTCTGGTGGCAATGTGCCTGCGTCTTTACGCACTGAGTTTACCAGGCACATGAACATGCTTCGGGAGGAAATTAAATCCTGTTTTGCCGATGTTGACGAATACTTATTAAAGGAATCGTGGGTGATGGACCCTTACATTTGCAGTCTCGAGGACGTGGAATACCTCGGCTGTGAAGATGAGCTTGCTGACCTTCAAGCCAATTCTGTGTCAAATAAGTATTTCCACGAGAACAGATACAAAACGTTTTTACTGTGGAGCCCTGGACCACCAGCCAACGTGGCTGGTGAAATAGACATCTTACCCGCCAATGCCAAAATCTATCTGCATTTGGCAGGTGGCGGGTGTTAATTTTAGGCCCTGCTGTAACTGCATCGAAGGCTTTATTGGTTGCATTTAGGGCTAAAAACGTTTTTCACTTTGTGTTGTTTCTAAAACTGCAGGTGACCCGAGTTCAGTAAAAATGATAACATTCTCCTTTCCTCCCACAGTGTGGTGTTTGGCAACAGCAGCGGGCTGGTTGTAGTGGACTACCTTCAGATGATCCTCCTCCTGAACATGGGCACGTCAGAACTGTACAGTCCCTCAGACCCCTACCAGAGACAGCCTCGGTCGCCTCGCAAGACACGACAGCCATCTGGGGGTGAGGGGTTCCCTGCACGCTTTCCCATCTTAATGTTCAGCTGAGTAAGCTAAGGCGTGTAGCTATGTTCCCAGAAATTAAAGGGAGTATGTTCACACAGAATGTGGTGTCAAAAAGTCTCCAATATTAAAATGTAGCTTCAAATTTATTGAAAAACAAATAAATAGTATTGAAGGTATTGGAAAAACCATCCCGTGGCTTTATATGTATATACAGTGGGGGAAAAAAGTATTTAGTCAGCCACCAATTGTGCAAGTTCTCCCACTTAAAAAGATGAGAGAGGCCTGTAATTTTCATCATAGGTACACGTCAACTATGACAGACAAATTGAGAAAAAAATATCCAGAAAATCACATTGTAGGATTTTTAATGAATTTATTTGCAAATTATGGTGGAAAATAAGTATTTGGTCACCTACAAACAAGCACGATTTCTGGCTCTCACAGACCTGTAACTTCTTCTTTAAGAGGCTCCTCTGTACTCCACTCGTTACCTGTATTAATGGCACCTGTTTGAATTTGTTGTCAGTATAAAAGACACCTGTCCACAACCTCAAACAGTCACACTCCAAACTCCACTATGGCCAAGACCAAAGAGCTGTCAAAGGACATCAGAAACAAAATTGTAGACCTGCACCAGGCTGGGAAGACTGAATCTGCAATAGGTAAGCAGCTTGGTTTGAAGAAATCAACTGTGGGAGCAATTATTAGGAAATGGAAGACATACAAGACCACTGATAATCTCCCTCGATCTGGGGCTCCACGCAAGATCTCACCCCGTGGGGTCAAAATGATCACTAGAACGGTGAGCAAAAATCCCAGAACCACACGGGGGGACCTAGTGAATGACCTGCAGAGAGCTGGGACCAAAGTAACAAAGCCTACCATCAGTAACACACTACGCCGCCAGGGACTCAAATCCTGCAGTGCCAGACGTGTCCCCCTGCTTAAGCCAGTACATGTCCAGGCCCGTCTGAAGTTTGCTAGAGTGCATTTGGATGATCCAGAAGAGGATTGGGAGAATGTCATATGGTCAGATGAAACCAAAATATAACTTTTTGGTAAAAACTCAACTCGTCGTGTTTGGAGGACAAAGAATGCTGAGTTGCATCCAAAGAACACCATACCTACTGTGAAGCATGGGGGTGGAAACATCATGCTTTGGGGCTGTTTTTCTGCAAAGGGACCAGGACGACTGATCCGTGTAAAGGAAAGAATGAATGGGGCCATGTATCGTGAGATTTTGAGTGAAAACCTCCTTCCATCAGCAAGGGCATTGAAGATGAAACGTGGCTGGGTCTTTCAGCATGACAATGATCCCAAACACACCGCCCGGGCAACGAAGGAGTGGCTTCGTAAGAAGCATTTCAAGGTCCTGGAGTGGCCTAGCCAGTCTCCAGATCTCAACCCCATAGAAAATCTTTGGAGGGAGTTGAAAGTCAGTGTTGCCCAGCGACAGCCCCAAAACATCACTTCTCTAGAGGAGATCTGCATGGAGGAATGGGCCAAAATACCAGCAACAGTGTGTGAAAACCTTGTGAAGACTTACAGAAAACGTTTGACCTGTGTCATTGCCAACAAAGGGTATATAACAAAGTATTGAGAAACTTTTGTTATTGACCAAATACTTATTTTCCACCATAATTTGCAAATAAATTCATAAAAAATCCTACAATGTGATTTTCTGGATTTTCTTTCCTCATTTTGTCTGTCATAGTTGACGTGTACCTATGATGAAAATTACAGGCCTCTCTCATCTTTTTAAGTGGGAGAACTTGCACAATTGGTGGCTGACTAAATACTTTTTTTCCCCACTGTAGGTATTCACTATATACAGGATACCACCCAAGCCTACCTCACACGCTGGGCAGACCATTTGGCTTCACACCCCTGAGTACCCCACCCCCTGCAGTAGCATCTCTCTCTTAACAGGAGGCATCACTGATGGACTGTCCATCTGTTCAGTGACGCTGAAGCCACAGAGAAACATGCGTATCATGACTGGGCTCTGTCTGTGCCGTGATTGGAGTGGCCTGCTTTTTTGCTTCAGTTGGTCCAAAGTAATTGTACATTTTGTAGCACTGTACACAAACACATTAGAGAGTAGGGCTTCATGCTTGCTGTTGCTTCTGACTCCTGTGTTATTTCTGTCACCATACATGCTATCTTTCTCTATCTTGCCATACTTCCTCTAATGATCTGTCTCTCTGTCTTGCCATCCTTCCTCTAATGATCTCTCTCTGTCTTGCCATCCTTCCTCTAATGATCTGTCTCTCTGTCTTGCCATCCTTCCTCTAATGATCTGTCTCTGTCTTGCCATACTTCCTCTAATGATCTGTCTCTCTGTCTTGCCATCCTTCCTCTAATGATCTCTCTCTGTCTTGCCATCCTTCCTCTAATGATCTGTCTCTCTGTCTTGCCATCCTTCCTCTAATGATCTGTCTCTCTGTCTTGTCATCCTTCCTCTAATGATCTGTCTCTCTGTCTTGCCATCCTTCCTCTAATGATCTGTCTCTGTCTTGCCATCCTTCCTCTAATGATCTGTCTCTGTCTTGCCATACTGCCTCTAATGATCTGTCTCTCTGTCTTGCCATCCTTCCTCTAATGATCTCTCTCTGTCTTGCCATACTTCCTCTAATGATCTGTCTCTGTCTTGCCATACTTCCTCTAATGATCTGTCTCTCTGTCTTGCCATCCTTCCTCTAATGATCTCTCTCTGTCTTGCCATACTTCCTCTAATGATCTGTCTCTCTGTCTTGTCATCCTTCCTCTAATGATCTGTCACTGTCTTGTCATCCTTCCTCTAATGATCTCTCTCTGTCTTGCCATCCTTCCTCTAATGATCTGTCTCTGTCTTGCCATCCTTCCTCTAATGATCTGTCTCTGTCTTGTCATACTTCCTCTAATGATCTGTCTCTGTCTTGCCATACTTCCTCTAATGATCTGTCTCTGTCTAGTCATCCTCTACCACTCATGTTTCTCTTTGTGGTCCATCCTCTCTTCATTTCATCCTTGGCTTAGTGAGCCTCCTGGTGTTCGGCAGCACTGGATTTAATACTCCTCTTCGGTCATGCGTTGACTCAAATGCTAATAACCTAAGCCTACAATTTCAATTCAATCACAATTTGAGTCATCTTGTCGTAATTTGATTTACAGAAAAATTGTATGAGAATGAATGTATATTTAATGAATTTACTATTGGAGTGAATGCAGTTGCTAGCCTCTGAGTCACTTTGCTTTTTTTCTGTTCTTCTGATTTGCTATCATTGTTTTGTCTCACCTATTTTCTACTGGTGGGCTCTCTCTATGGCCTTGGAAAGACATTTCCACTGTGACGTCTTGCATTTCCCGCCTTTCTATCTTTTATACGTCTATGAAAAAGACCTGTTATTCTTCTAACTCCCGTAAGTCATCTCATGTTTATCACACTCTTTCTTTTCTTCTCTCTATCCATCTCCCTCTTTCACTTCAATCTGCCTTTTCTGTCAAGGCAGATTCCTCTCACTCTGTTTGTTTCAATCACCATTTGTTTACAGTATATGCACTCAAACAACATATTTTAGCTGTCACTTTTTTTTTAAGTGTATGAATAGATAGCTTAACTGGACAGATAATATGATTTTCAAATGTATGATTTTGGATAGAGAATCTGATTTTATAGTAAAAAAATATTGCAATTATTCACAGCCTTAGTTTTTGTTAATCACTTGCCTCAGAGTTTTCTTAACGATGAATCTTAGACTCACTTTGAGGCTAGTGTATGGTGAACAGCAGTCTTTACTGTAGAACATCCCGTTGGTCTAAGACACGTCTGTTCTCCACAGCTCTCAGTGATAACATCACGTTGGTCTAAGACACGTCTGTTCTCCACAGCTCTCAGTGATAACATCACGTTGGTCTAAGACACGTCTGTTCTCCACAGCTCTCAGTGATAACATCACGTTGGTCTAAGACACGTCTGTTCTCCACAGCTCTCAGTGATAACATCACGTTGGTCTAAGACACGTCTGTTCTCCACAGCTCTCAGTGATAACATCACGTTGGTCTAAGACATGTCTGTTCTCCACAGCTCTCAGTGATAACATCACGTTGGTCTAAGACACGTCTGTTCTCCACAGCTCTCAGTGATAACATCACGTTGGTCTAAGACACGTCTGTTCTCCACAGCTCTCAGTGATAACATCACGTTGGTCTAAGACACGTCAGTTCTCCACAGCTCTCAGTGATAACATCACGTTGGTCTAAGACATGTCTGTTCTCCACAGCTCTCAGTGATAACATCACGTTGGTCTAAGACACGTCTGTTCTCCACAGCTCCCAGTGATAACATCACGTTGGTCTAAGACACGTCTGTTCTCCACAGCTCTCAGTGATAACATCACGTTGGTCTAAGACACGTCTGTTCTCCACAGCTCCCAGTGATAACATCACGTTGGTCTAAGACACGTCTGTTCTCCACAGCTCTCAGTGATAACATCACGTTGGTCTAAGACACGTCTGTTCTCCACAGCTCTCAATGATAACATCACGTTGGTCTAAGACACGTCTGTTCTCCACAGCTCTCAGTGATAACATCACGTTGGTGTAAGACATGTCTGTTCTCCACAGCTCTCAGTGATAACATCACGTTGGTGTAAGACACGTCTGTTCTCCACAGCTCCCAGTGATAACATCACGTTGGTCTAAGACACGTCTGTTCTCCACAGCTCTGTGATAACATCACGTTGGTCTAAGACACGTCTGTTCTCCACAGCTCTGTGATAACATCACGTTGGTCTAAGACACGTCTGTTCTCCACAGCTCTCAGTGATAACATCACGTTGGTGTAAGACACGTCTGTTCTCCACAGCTCTCAGTGATAACATCACGTTGGTCTAAGACATGTCTGTTCTCCACAGCTCTCAGTGATAACATCACGTTGGTCTAAGACATGTCTGTTCTCCACAGCTCTCAGTGATAACATCACGTTGGTCTAAGACACGTCTGTTCTCCACAGCTCTCAGTGATAACATCACGTTGGTGTAAGACATGTCTGTTCTCCACAGCTCTCAGTGATAACATCACGTTGGTGTAAGACACGTCTGTTCTCCACAGCTCCCAGTGATAACATCACGTTGGTCTAAGACACGTCTGTTCTCCACAGCTCTGTGATAACATCACGTTGGTCTAAGACACGTCTGTTCTCCACAGCTCTCAGTGATAACATCACGTTGGTCTAAGACATGTCTGTTCTCCACAGCTCTCAGTGATAACATCACGTTGGTCTAAGACACGTCTGTTCTCCACAGCTCTCAGTGATAACATCACGTTGGTGTAAGACATGTCTGTTCTCCACAGCTCTCAGTGATAACATCACGTTGGTGTAAGACACGTCTGTTCTCCACAGCTCCCAGTGATAACATCACGTTGGTCTAAGACACGTCTGTTCTCCACAGCTCTGTGATAACATCACGTTGGTCTAAGACACGTCTGTTCTCCACAGCTCTGTGATAACATCACGTTGGTCTAAGACACGTCTGTTCTCCACAGCTCTCAGTGATAACATCACGTTGGTGTAAGACACGTCTGTTCTCCACAGCTCTCAGTGATAACATCACGTTGGTCTAAGACATGTCTGTTCTCCACAGCTCTCAGTGATAACATCACGTTGGTCTAAGACATGTCTGTTCTCCACAGCTCTCAGTGATAACAGCGATGGAAACAACGCTTCAGAGGAGAAAAGCAACAAGTCACCAACGTCAGGTAACATTTAATTCTCCATTACTGCATAATACAAAACGCAATCTACCCTTTTCTTGAACAAGTAAAAAATATACAACATTCTGTATATCCATTTAGCTGCTTGTCAGTATCAAGGAGTGTCGAATAAGTTGATGTCCCCTGAAGTGTTGTTGTCACCATATAGGCGCTACGTCACCCACCAGTTCAGACGATGAACACAAACAGAAAAGGTTTATAGAGATGGGTACTGTATTACATTGATAAATCAACAAGATCTACAGAGCTTCATTCTACCCAAACTTTCTGGCCGTCGGAAATGCAATGCAATTTTACATTTGCCTTTGTCTTTTTAAAATACATTTGCAGTGAAGTCCAAAAGCAGGCGGTTTTCCAAGATGGTTGCCAATGACTTTGGTAGTGTATGATCCTAGTGTTATAAACTCTACTGCTTTCTCTCTTACCGACTTCACTGGGCTTCTAACCAAGGCAATGCCCTAATCCAACATGGCCAACCACACTGGGTTTCTAAACAAGGCTGTGCCCTAATCCAACATGGTCTCTTACCGACTTCACTGGGCTTCTAACCAAGGTTGTGCCACAATCCTAAGCATCATGTGCTAATGAAGGTGATGGAGAAGAAACATGTACTCAATCTGTGGGTTGTTTTTGTCAATCACAAGGTGGCTGATGGTCTATAAAAGTGATCCTCTGCACTTTGTCAAATGCATGATTGATAGAGGGGTATCCACTTGTATCTCTTAGGACCAAATTTACTATGCTTTTTTGCACATGAGTAAAATCACTGTAGGACCTGTTCTCTCTAGAGGGAATATAATGTGAAATGTAAAATAAAGATCACTAAAAACATTTGTTTCTAAATCACTCAAATCTAAAAGTGGTGCACGTTTTCACTGGTTCAAATGTATAGTAACTCTGACCATTAATCTCTTAACAAGATTCGGTTTGACCCAAAAACAAAACATTATTACAGGGCTTTGATACTTGATTATTCACTTTAATGATTTTCCCTCCCTGTCCTCCCCAGTCAAATAACCAATATTCAATCTCTTTTTCTTGTCTACCTCTTGCTTAGTTGGACATTACAGGCGTGTGTGTGTGTACGTGTGTGTACGTGTGTGTGTGCGCGCGCGTGCACGTGCGTGCGTGCGTGCGTGCGTGCGTGCGTGCGAGCGATCGAGATGCACTCAATGACCGGCTGCCTCTGAGTCTCAATGCTAATTCTACATTCTAATTCTACAGTCTCCTCTCAAACTGTTTGCCAATGAATGACAGATGACACAAGTTGCTGAAAGCGATCAAAACAAGTAGCATTTTAATGGATCATTGTATTTGACATTCAGTTTGCTTGATTCCAAAGTATTAATTTGTAAAGAGGGTATGTTTTTATTTAATTTATTTATTTGTATTTATTTTTCTTGCAGCCAAGATGTCAAGGAAAATGAGCTCGCCTACAGAGCAAAAGACAGGCCTGGGTAAGCCCTTCTAACTTAGTGTTGTTTACATTCTCTAGTAGCCCATTTACCTTTCAGATGCTGTTCTATTCCCACTTCCTAATTACACCAAACTTTCCTTACTGTTTCAATGTTCATACATTTTTGTTTTGTTTGTGAGTGTGAAGCCCTAGACTGGTAGAAGCAGCCTAATAGCTGCGTTTGCATTGTGCAACACGATCAGGCTGGTTCCACCAGGCTAATAGCTGCGTTTGCATTGTGCAACACGATCAGGCTGGTTCCACCAGCCTAATAGCTGCGTTTGCATTGTGCAACACGATCAGGCTGGTTCCACCAGGCTAATTGGAGCCTGACCTGTAAGGAAGACGTGTCACTGAATGTGTAAAATTCAAATTCTGTTATCTTGTAATCTGGTAAACTGAGACACATGTACTCTCTGTTTGGCCTCGTACTCTCTGTGAGCAGAGGAGAGGGTGCGACGGCAGCGCTCTCTCCCATATAAGAGGTGCTTTTGTTGTATGAAGGAGGGCAAGGCGTCCAGGAGCCTTCTCTACGTTCATAGGACTCTCTCGGTCCCTGACGTCAGTGAGTGGACCAGTCGTGTAGTCTGCGTCTGAAATGGCACCCTATTCCCTATATAGTGCTCTACAATTGACCAGGGCCCGCATAGGGCTTTGATCAAAAGTAGTGCACTATATATGGAATAGGGTGCCATTGAATTGGGCTGGAGTGGGATAACTGGTTATGGTACTAACCTCCACCACTGCTGCAGGGGCCTCCTGTTCCTTGGTTTTGAACTTTGACCTTTGACACTAACTCTCTCTCTCACTGACTGACAGACTTGTTGGTTCCCTTGTTTAATATTGAGGGTGTCCAATTACTGTTTGCAGTCAGTGTTGAAACTCCTGCTTTTCTTGTGTACTTCTCTGAAATGGAATGCAACAATGAGTTTGACAAGTGCCATGCTATTCAAACTGCTAAACATGTGGTAAAGTATTGCCCCCTCCTGTCTCCTTAAGTTACATACTGCATAAGGAAGGTGTGACTTTTTCTAGACGTTTCACATTGAGAACACACCTTCTTTGGCCAAATGCTTTTGCATATTTGCAGTTTTGAAAACTAAATTAACACAATATCTCATGTAATCTCTCAATGATGAAATGCCATGTGGTTTCTCTGGAATGACCTTTATTTGGTGCTACTGTAGTTCTTAAGATGGGCGTTTCATGTGCTGCTCCTTGTGTGCATTGTGAAGAAATGTGATATTTTTTCTCTAGCTTGGATGTACCTCTGCATAACTAACTTGCTCATGAGACAATGCAGGACTTCTCCTGAATTTCAGAGCGTCTACATGAAAGGTCACAGATCTAACCTTCCGTTGGGTTATTAACCACTCCTATTTTCCTTTCCTATTCCAACTATATCAAAGCATCCACTTTCATATTATCCCTCACTTCTCCTCTCTCTCTATTGGTCTTCTCTCTATATACCATCCTCACTATTCACCAATCACTATCCACCAATCACCATTCTCCATCCATGATCCACCATCCTCCATCCACCATCCACCAATCACCATCCTCCATCCATTATCCTCCATCCTCCATCCAGATGCCAAGGACAGTTTGTTCAGCCGTTCGAGGAGTTCCAGTGTGACCAGTATAGAGCGGGAGTCCCGCGAAGCTATCTCCTCCTTCCACTTCAGTGAGAGTTTCCCCAGGAAGACAGACAGCAACCCCAGCCCCAGCCTGTGGGTGGGTACTACCCAGGGCACTGTCCTCGTCCTCTCCCTCAGTCTGCCACCCACAGGGGACCAGAGGCTGCAGCAACCTGTCGGAGTCTCGTCCTGTGGTAAGTGTGATCGCTGATATGAGCTAGGTTTGCGTCCCAAATTGAACCCTATTGCCTATGTAGTGCACTTCTTTTGACCAGGGCCCGTAGGGCAGCCCTGGTAAGCTTAATGACAATGAATGACACAGTGGAGCCCATTCAACTTTTCAGGTCTCGGACAAGGTTAGCCGGTTCACTGAACCATCTCTGTGACATCAGCAGAAGCATTACCACTGTGGTGGCTTAATCTGGATGGAACTGGAAGGAATAGTTTGCATCTACACATACTCCCACAAATGTTCCATATATTTCTCAGTTTCTTTGCATGAAAGCAGTGGTTCCCAATCTGTGGTTCGGTAGCACTAGTCGTCTGCATGTTTACTGAAGGTTGTCAGCAAATTATATATTATTAACAACAATATGAAAATAGATTTTTGAGAGAGAGAGCGAGAGGTCTAACTTGTCTCCAGCTGCTCTGATTATAAATGTGTTTATAATGAAGCAAGATGTCTAACCTGTCTCTTTCTATGTCCTCCAGGTACTCTGGTCAGACTAAAAGGAGGTATCCTGACTATGGCCTTCCTGGACTCCCTTGGGGCGGTCCTTCCTCCTTCCTACGAGCCGTGGTCCGAGCCCAACGCTCCAGACGAGGAGAAGGAGGCGAGGAGCCGCCGGCCGGCCTCCCCACCCCCCACCCAGGAGGGTCAGGACAGCCAGTACGCTGTGGTGTGCTCAGAGAAACAGGCCAAGGTGGTGGGCCTGCCTTCCCAATCCTGCTTCTTCAAGCACAACATCACAGAGAGCTCCTTCGTGCTGAGAGCTGACGTGGTGCAGATGGCTGCTGGACTCTGCCTCGCCTGCTTCTGTGCTAATGGACACGTCATGACTCTGAGGTACTCTTAAAGGCCCAGCCTGTGGTACTGTAGTTACTCTGAGGTACTCTTAAAGGCCCAGCCTGTGGTACTGTAGTTACTCTGAGGTACTCTGAAAGGCCCAGCCTGTGGTACTGTAGTTACTCTGAGGTACTCTGAAAGGCCCAGTCTGTGGTACTGTAGTTACTCTGAGGTACTCTGAAAGGCCCAGCCTGTGGTACTGTAGTTTACTCGTGAGGTACTCGAAAGGCCCAGCCTGTGGTACTGTAGTTACTCTGAGGTACTCTGAAAGGCCCAGCCTGTGGTACTGTAGTTACTCTGAGGTACTCTGAAAGGCCCAGCCTGTGGTACTGTAGTTACTCTGAGGTACTCTGAAAGGCCCAGCCTGTGGTACTGTAGTTACTCTGAGGTACTCTGAAAGGCCCAGCCTGTTGGTACTGTAGTTACTCTGAGGTACTCTGAAAGGCCCATCTGTGGTACTGTAGTTACTCTGAGGTACTCTGAAAGGCCCAGTCTGTGTACTGTAGTTACTCTGAGGTACTCTGAAAGGCCCAGCCTGTGGTACTGTAGTTACTCTGAGGTACTCTGAAAGCCCAGCTGTGGTACTGTAGTTACTCTGAGGTACCTGAAAGGCCCAGCCTGTGTGGTACTGTAGTTACTCTGAGGTACTCTTAAAGGCCCAGCCTTGTACTGTTATGTAAGTTACTCTGAGGTACTCTCTAAAGGCCCAGCCTGTTGGTACTGTAGTTACTCTGATGTACTCTGAAAGGCCCAGTCTGTGGTACTGTAGTTACTCTGAGGTACTCTTAGTGTTACACACAGACCTCTCTGGTATACTACACAGTGCTTACTTCATTCATACTGTTCGTATGTCTCTCTCTCTCTCTGTCTCTCTCTCTGTCTCTCTCTCTGTCTCTCTTCCTTCTCTCTCTCCTCTCTCTCTCTCTCTCTCTCTCTCCCTCTTCTCTCTCTCTCTCCCTTCTCTCTCTCTCTCTCTCTCTCTCTCTCTCTCTCTCTCTCTACCTCTCTCCTCTATCTCTCTCTCCTCTCTTCTCTCTCTCTCTCTCTCTCTTCTTCTCTCTGTCTCTCTGTCTCTCTGTCTCTCTCTCTCTCTCTCTCTTCCTCTCTCTCTTGTCTCTTCTCTCTGTCTCTCTCTCTCTCTCTCTCTCTGTCTCCCTCTCCCTCTCTCTCTTTCTTTCTTTCTTTCTTTCACGCTCCTCCCCCCCCCCCAGTCTACCCAGTCTCAGACCACTCCTGGATGTGAACTACCTTCCCCTGACAGACATGAGGATAGCCCGGACCTTCTGCTTCTCCAACCTGGGCCAGGCTCTGTACCTCACCTCCCCCACTGAGATACAGAGGATCACATACAGCCAGGAGACCTGCGACAATCTACAGGTGTGTGTGTGTGCGCGTGTCTCTGTGCTGTGTGTGTGTGTTAGGGCTATAATGCTTTGCTTTTTTACTTTACCTTCTGTAATGGTATTTCAACGTTTGGTTTGTTAAATGTGATACGCCACTCCGCCACGTGTAACATCTATTTTTTATAGTTTACTCTGTTTTGCTACTTGAGTCATCTTCCTCCATCCTCCTACTACACACACCAAGCCCTGCCCCCTGTCACTCAAGGAGAGCGGTTGTTGCTCGACCACGGAGTCACGACCACTTGCTGTTCACTCTGTCTGCATGGTCAGAAGCAACAAGATGTTGGTGACAACGATGCTGCTTTCCACTTTGCTTCTTAATATAAATCCACATGTGTTCTATAGTTACAATATTAGTTTGTGTATCTTACTGTCAGCAAACAGCTACTGTGTCTTAGCAAGTTGTGGCTAAAATAAAACGTGTTAATGCTAATTGCTCGCTAGCTAGCTAAATGTGCTCAGAGTCAGAGCAAACATACAGTGGCTTGCGAAAGTATTCACCCCCCTTGGCATTTTTCCTATTTTGTTGCCTTACAACCTGGAATTAAAATTGATTTTTGGGGGGTTTGTATCATTTGATTTACACACATGCCTACCACTTTGAAGATAAAAAATATTTATTTGTGTGAAAAAAGACAAAGAAACAGAAAACTTGAGTGTGCATAGCTATTCACCCCCCCAAAGTCAATACTTTGTAGAGCCACCTTTTGCAGCAATTACAGCTGCAAGTTTTTGCCCATTCTTCAAGGCAAAACTGCTCCAGCTCCTTCAAGTTGGATGGGTTCCGCTAGGTGTACAGCAATCTTTAAGTCATACCACAGATTCTCAATTGGATTGAGATCTGGGCTTTGACTAGGCCATTCCAAGACATTTAAATGTTTCCCCTTAAACCACTCAAGTGTTTTTTTTTTTTTTTAAGGGGGTAGATCAGCTTTAATATTGCAGATAGATTGTAACTTCCATCAATGTAATTGTCTGCATCACTTCCAATCCCCCATATGTTTTTTTTCTCTCGCATATATATATATATATATATATACACTGCTCAAAAAATTAAGGGAACACTAAAATAACACATCCTAGATCTGAATGAATGAAATAATCTTATTAAATACTTTTTTCTTTACATAGTTGAATGTGCTGACAACAAAATCACACAAAAATTATCAATGGAAATCAAATGTATCAACCCATGGAGGTCTGGATTTGGAGTCACCCTCAAAATGAAAGTGGAAAACCACACTACAGGCTGATCCAACTTTGATGTAATGACCTAACTCCTGGACAGTCTGTGGTGCAACGTGGCGTTGGTGGATGGAGCGAGACATGATGTCCCAGATGTGCTCAATTGGATTCAGGTCTGGGGAACGGGCGGGCCAGTCCATAGCATCAATGCCTTCCTCTTGCAGGAACTGCTGACACACTCCAGCCACATGAGGTCTAGCATTGTCTTGCATTAGGAGGAACCCAGGGCCAACCGCACCAGCATATGGTCTCACAAGGGGTCTGAGGATCTCATCTCGGTACCTAATGGCAGTCAGGCTACCTCTGGCGAGCACATGGAGGGCTGTGCGGCCCCCCCAAAGAAATGCCACCCCACACCATGACTGACCCACCACCAAACCGGTCATGCTGGAGGATGTTGCAGGCAGCAGAACGTTCTCCACGGCGTCTCCAGACTCTGTCACGTCTGTCACATGTGCTCAGTGTGAACCTGCTTTCATCTGTGAAGAGCACAGGGCGCCAGTGGCGAATTTGCCAATCTTGGTGTTCTCTGGCAAATGCCAAACGTCCTGCATGGTGTTGGGCTGTAAGCACAACCCCCACCTGTGGACGTCGGGCTCTCATACCACCCTCATGGAGTCTGTTTCTGACCGTTTGAGCAGACACATGCACATTTGTGGCCTGCTGGAGGTCATTTTGCAGGGCTCTGGCAGTGCTCCTCCTGCTCCTTCTTGCACAAAGGCGGAGGTAGCAGTCCTGCTGCTGGGTTGTTGCCCTCCTACGGCCTCCTCCACGTCTCCTGATGTACTGGCCTGTCTCCTGGTAGCGCCTCCATGCTCTGGACACTACGCTGACAGACACAGTAAACCTTCTTGCCACAGCTCGCATTGATGTGCCATCCTGGATGAGCTGCACTACCTGAGCCACTTGTGTGGGTTGTAGACTCCGTCTCATGCTACCACTAGAGTGAAAGCACCGCCAGCATTCAAAAGTGACCAAAACATCAGCCAGGAAGCATAGGAACTGAGAAGTGCTCTGTGGTCACCACCTGCAAAACCAATCCTTTATTGGGGGTGTCTTGCTAATTGCCTATAATTTCCAACTGTTGTCTATTCCATTTGCACAACAGCATGTGAAATGTATTGTCAATCAGTGTTGCTTCCTAAGTGGACAGTTTGATTTCACAGAAGTGTGATTGACTTGGAGTTACATTGTGTTGTTTAAGTGTTCCCTTAATTTTTTTGAGCAGTGTAATATATATATATATACAGTGGGGAGAACAAGTATTTGATACACTGCCGATCTTGCAGGTTTTCCTACTTACAAAGCATGTAGAGGTCTGTAATTTTTATCATAGGTACACTTCAACTATGAGAGACGGAATCTAAAACAAAAATCCAGAAAATCACATTGTATGATTTTTAAGTAATTAATTTGCATTTTATTGCATGACATAAGTATTTGATCACCTACCAACCAGTAAGAATTCCGGCTCTCACAGACCTGTTAGTTTTTCTTTAAGAAGCCCTCCTGTTCTCCACTCATTACCTGTATTAACTCGTTACCTGTATAAAAGACACCTGTCCACACACTCAATCAAACAGACTCCAACCTCTCCACAATGGCCAAGAACAGAGAGTTGTGTAAGGACATCAGGGATAAAATTGTAGACCTGCACAAGGCTGGGATGGGCTACAGGACAATAGGCAAGCAGCTTGGTGAGAAGGCAACAACTGTTGGCACAATTATTAGAAAATGGAAGAAGTTCAAGATGACGGTCAATCACCCTCGGTCTGGGGCTCCATGCAAGATCTCACCTCGTGGGGCATCAATGATCATGAGGAAGGTGAGGGATCAGCCCAGAACTACACGGCAGGACCTGGTCAATGACCTGAAGAGAGCTGGGACCACAGTCTCAAAGAAAACCATTAGTAACACACTACGCCGTCATGGATTAAAATCCTGCAGCGCACACAAGGTCCCCCTGCTCAAACCAGCGCATGTCCAGGCCCGTCTGAAGTTTGCCAATGACCATCTGGATGATCCAGAGGAGGAATGGGAGAAGGTCATGTGGTCTGATGAGACAAAAATAGAGCTTTTTGGTCTAAACTCCACTCGCTGTGTTTGGAGGAAGAAGAAGGATGAGTACAACCCCAAGAACACCATCCCAACCGTGAAGCATGGAGGTGGAAACATCATTCTTTGGGGATGCTTTTCTGCAAAGGGGACAGGACGACTGCACCGTATTGAGGGGAGGATGGATGGGGCCATGTATCGCGAAATCTTGGCCAACAACCTCCTTCCCTCAGTAAGAGCATTGAAGATGGGTCGTGGCTGGGTCTTCCAGCATGACAACGACCCGAAACACACAGCCAGGGCAACTAAGGAGTGCCTCCGTAAGAAGCATCTCAAGGTCCTGGAGTGGCCTAGCCAGTCTCCAGACCTGAACCCAATAGAAATTATTTGGAGGGAGCTGAAAGTCTGTATTGCCCAGCAACAGCCCCGAAACCTGAAGGATCTGGAGAAGGTCTGTAGGGAGGAGTGGGCCAAAATCCCTGCTGCAGTGTGTGCAAACCTGGTCAAGCCCTACAGGAAACGTATGATCTCTGTAATTGCAAACAAAGGTTTCTGTACCAAATATTAAGTTCTGCTTTTCTGATGTATCAAATACTTATGTCATGCAATAAAATGCAAATTAATTACTTAAAAATCATACAATGTGATTTTCTGGATTTTTGTTTTAGATTCTGTCTCTCACAGTTGAAGTGTACCTATGATAAAAAATTACAGACCTCTACATGCTTTGTAAGTAGGAAAACCTGCAAAATCGGCAGTGTATCAAATACTTGTTCTCCCCACTGTATATAAACACATAGACATACACATATACACATCCTTTAAAAAATATATATTTCCCTTTATTACTTTCCTGACCTTCTATGCAGATTTGCAAAGAAAAAGCCATATCTCAGACTGGCCAATAAAAATAAAAGATTAAGATGGGCAATCTGAGATATGTTTTTTTCTTTGCAACTCTGCCTAGAAAGTCAGCATCCCGGAGTCGCCTCTTCACTGTTGACGTTGAGACTGGTGTTTTGCGGGTACTATTTAATGAAGCTGCCAGTTGAGGACCGGTGAGGCGCCTGTTTCTCAAACTAGACACTAATGTATTTGTCCTCTTGCTCAGTTGTGCACCGAGGCCTCCCACTCCTCTTTCTATTCTGGTTAGAGCCAGTTTGCGCTGTTCTGTGAAGGGAGTAGTACACAGCGTTGTACGAGATTTTCAGTTTCTTGGCAATTTCTCGTATGGAATAGCCTTCATTTCTCAGAACAAGAATAGACTGACGAGTTTCAGAAGAAAGTTATTTGTTTCTGGCCATTTTGAGCCTGTAATCGAACCCACAATTGCTGATGCTCCAGATACTCAACTAGTCTCAAGAAGGCCAGTTTTATTGCTTCTTTAATCAGCACAACAGTTTTCAGCTGTGCTAACATAATTGCAAAAGGGTTTTCTAATGATCAATTAGCCTTTTAAAATGATAAACTTGGATTAGCAAACACAACGTGCCATTTGAACACAGGACTGATGGTTGCTGATAATGGGCCACTGTACGCCTATGTAGATATTCAGTTTCCAGCTACAATAGCCATTTACAACATTAACAATGTCTACACTGTATTTCTGATCAATTTGATGTTATTTTAATGGACCAAAAATTTGCTTTTCTTTCGAAAACAAGGACATTTCTAAGTGACCCAAAACTTTTGAACGGTAGTGTTGGTGGATGCACGTGGCATTTCGCCCACTTTTTACTTGCGTATCTGCCCTCTCATTGGCTAGAATGGTCCCAGCTGATCTCGCCTGCTCCCGCCTGCCTTCCATCTTTGAGGACATGTATTTCCATTGTTAATGCGGTCACTCGACTATCTTGTCAAGATAGTATATCATCTTTGCATGAAGTAGAGAAAACGTGTAATTAGGGTCCCCTGGGAAACACTGACCAACACTTTGGTTAATACACGGTCACAATAATTCCTCCCTGGCTTTTTCATCCGTTGTCATGTCAAACAACTATTTATTCAAAGTGCTGCCCACTATATTTCAATAATCATTCTATTTCCATGATTCCAACAGTTTACCCAAGTGTTTTGATCTAAATCTCAAGTCCAATCGCAATATTTGGTCAAAAGAAATCGCAATTGAGCCTAGATGTTTTGGCCATATCATGCAGCCCTATGTAGCACAGTGTGGAAATGATAACAAATGAGTGCAGGAAATGCATAAATTGATGAAAATGCAGAAAATTATTTTGAAGTTGAATTGAACAGTATAAAACAATCAGAATGGAGAAAGCCCTGTTGAAATCACTTTGAATGTATGTGTTGCCACCCTAGGACCACGCACTACTCATTAATCTTATTTAGAACTTGTATTATTAAAAAACATAAAATACAGTCAAGTACAGTAATGCCTTACTATAAAATATTTGAAAAATATTGTGATATGATATCTTGGCCATATCGCCCAGCCCGTGTGTGTGTGTGTGTGTGAGAGAGAGAGCGATATCACGTTTTGTGTTTGTGGGTATGATAAATACTGAAGTTATTTTTGACATATACTGCTAAATCTGAAACTTTAGGAGATGATGGGAGAGCTGTTTACACCGTTAGAGACACCTGAGGCCCCTAATAGAGGTTTCTTCAAGGGCCTGTTTGGGGGAGGAGCTCAGTCGCTGGATAGAGAAGATTTGTGTGAGTATCATTCCCACAATACACCTCTCCTTCAGTAGCTATAGAACTGTGACATTCTAGAGCGTTTTGAGGACATATCTGATTTAGTTGGACATAGATAATGCCGTACAAGATGTTTGGCATATGATTACTAATGACACAGTGTTATTGGACACAGAGATAATGCCGTACAAGATGTTTGGCATATGATTACTAATGATACAGTGTTATTGGACACAGAGATAATGCCGTACAAGATGTTTGGCATATGATTACTAATGACACAGTGTTATTGGACACAGAGATAATGCCGTACAAGATGTTTGGCATATGATTACTAATGACAGTGTTATTGGACACAGAGATAATGCCGTACAAGATGTTTGGCATATGATTACTAATGACACAGTGTTATTGGACACAGAGATAATGCCGTACAATATGTTTGGCATATGATTACTAATGACAGTGTTATTGGACACAGAGATAATGCCGTACAAGATGTTTGGCATACGATTACTAATGACACAGTGTTATTGGACACAGAGATAATGCCGTACAAGATGTTTGGCATATGATTACTAATGACACAGTGTTATTGGACACAGAGATAATGCCGTACAAGATGTTTGGCATATGGTTACTAATGACAGTGTTATTGGACACAGAGATAATGCCGTACAAGATGTTTGGCATATGATTACTAATGACAGTGTTATTGGACACAGAGATAATGCCGTACAAGATGTTTGGCATATGATTACTAATGACAGTGTTATTGGACACAGAGATAATGCCGTACAAGATGTTTGGCATATGATTACTAATGACACAGTGTTATTGGACACAGAGATAATGCTGTACAAGATGTTTGGCATATGATTACTAATGACACAGTGTTATTGGACACAGAGATAATGGCGTACTAGATTTTTGGCATATGATTACTAATGACAGTGTTATTGGACACAGAGATAATGCCTTACAAGATGTTTGGCATATGATTACTAATTACACAGTGTTATTGGACACAGAGATAATGCCGTACAAGATGTTTGGCATATGATTACTAATGACAGTGTTATTGGACACAGAGATAATGCCGTACAAGATGTTTGGCATATGATTACTAATGACAGTGTTATTGGACACAGAGATAATGCCGTACAAGATGTTTGGCATATGATTACTAATGACAGTGTTATTGGCATTGCAGTTATAAAGCCTGTTTTTTTGGCTCTGTCCTCTACAGTTGGTGAGACTGCGGCGGGTAAGGGATCTCGTAGCCTGGCGCAGCACATCCCTGGGCCCCAGGGCATGGAGGGCATGAAGGGGGCAGCCTCGGGGGTGGTGGGGGACCTGGCCCGCGCCCGGATAGCCCTGGACGAGAGGGGGCAGAAACTGGGCGAGCTGGAGGACAGAACCGCAGCCATGATGGCCAGCGCTGACTCCTTCTCTAAACACGCTCATGATGTAAGGCTGATGATCCACAAGGTCATCTGTGAGGAGCAAACCTGTGTTCAACTAGTATTAGTTTTCTTTCAAATACTTGAATTGTTTGATTGAGCCTGCCTAGTGCACGATGGACAGGGTTTGCACTTTTGGGCTCAATCAAGCACGGCTCAAGTATTTGAAAGAAAATGATTACTACCTGAACCCAGGTTTGATGAGAAGCCTGCCTTCTGTGACAGTGTTGTCTATGAGTCCCGTCCTGTCTCACAACCTCTTCTCTCACTTCCTTCTGTTTCTCAGATGATGCTGAAGTACAAAGATAAGAAGTGGTACCAGCTCTGATGGCAGCGAGGGGTTGTCTTGTCTACAGGAGATGCAGCTCCTCCTCCTCTTCTCCTTCATCTCTCTGCAGGAGGAAGAAGTGTTATGTAACAGACTGAGGCTTTCTTCCTAGCAGCACAAGACAACACTGCATTACCTCAGTCTGCTGGTTACCACTGAGGAGGAGTAGACAGACTGACAAAGACAGACGCACTGACACAGACAGAATCACTGACACAGACAGACAGAGACAGACAGACACAGACAGACACAGACAGACAGACAGACAGATGGAGACAGACAGACAGATGGAGACAGACAGACAGATGGAGACAGACAGACAGATGGAGACAGACAGACAGATGGAGACAGACAGACAGATGGAGACAGACAGACAGACAGACAGACAGACAGACAGACAGACAGACAGACAGACAGACAGACAGACAGACAGACAGACAGACAGACAGACAGACAGACAGACAGACATACGGAGACAGACAGACAGACAGACTCTTGAGGAGGAGGAGGAGGAGGAAGAGTTATTTTGGATCTTTCTTTCTATGTACTCTGAGGAGATGATGCTCGTTCCCTTAACCCACCAGAGGAGAGGGTTTCATCAGTCATGCTCTTATCTGTTCAGCTGTTTGGTTCTCCAAGAGTTAAGATAACTACACAAAATGAGTACTGTTGGAGGTAACCTGTGATTAACTGTGCAGTGGCCAGGCCAGGTGTTGTCTGCTCTTCACAGTGTCAACCAATCACAATGGACCTCTAAGGGGAGTCCATGTAAACCAGCCAGTGGAACCAGCTCTTTGCTCCTGAAGTCCCAATATCTATAGCAATGGTTATGATGAATCTACGATTGATCCATCCCTGCCGTGTTTTGTCTCCAGTTTTTACATCGTCTTTATTTGTCAACTTTATTTTTTTCAGGAAAGTCCATCCAAGCACTTCATTAATTAAACAGGAGTTTATTGATGAGTTATATTGATGGTGTGATGAATAACCTTTTTCCATATTTTTTCCTACTGCTACGGTAGGCCTGGTTATACGCTATTATCGCTTATCATTCATACGGTCAGTTTGCATATCAGATTTGTTTTGAAGCAAGAAGTCAAATAGAACAGTTCCCATGTTTGTTTACTGAAAGTTCTTCCCTTTTTGTTGTTTTGTTTATCATAGTATTTCAGTTGTTTTGTGTTGTCAGTGTATACATTACAGGCTCTTACTGCATTATCCACTCAACTGAACCCACTTGACAGGCATGTGCAGGAAATGTTTAGCCAAAAAATAAGTCTACAAACATGGATATGATCAAAACTTGAAGGGTTATTAGTATGTTGAAAACACTGTGCAGCTTATATATAGTTCTCTCTTACGAGGTTATAGAGTTATGGCCATGCGTGACGTCAGTGCCAGTTTTCTATTTGGCTGAGACGTAGCGTTGAGGTTAATGTTCTGGCCTATGATTGACTCGGAGATAGAGTTGAGGGTTATGTACAACAGACTAAGGTGAAGTTACCCCTGGACGCTCATCTTGGTTCAGTTTTGCATTGTTCTCACTAATGGTTAAGGTTAGGATTGGGGGAGGGGGAGGGGATTCTAGCTGATCCTAGATCTGTACCTAGGGGAAACGTAAAGGCATTCAAATCTTTACCTCCACGTACTAAACAATGTGGTAATATTGCATTACAGGTTGGGTTACTGTCTTGGTCTTCTCACAATCCTTTGATAGTGATTCTAATACAATTTTCTCATGGCTTATTCGTTTTAAATGGTTTTTAATGTTTAGAGAAAAAAGCATGTCTCTTATAGCACAAGGAAACATATAAAGCTGTCTTTGTATTCGTAGTGTCAGTAGAAGAAGTGACCAAGTGCCATGTAATGTTCAGTAAAACATTAATTGGTCATTACTTTCTGAATCAACCACTATCTTACAGACAACTCTCTTCTGCCTTTGCTTATCATGATACATACACTATCAGTCAAACGTCTGGACACCTACTCATTCAAGGGTTTTTCTTTATTTTTACTATTTTCTACATTGTAGAATAATAGTGAAGACATCAACGCTATGAAATAACACATATGGAATCATGTAGTAACCAAAAAAGTATTAAACAAATCAAAAAATATTTTATATTTGAGATTCTTCAAAGTAGTCACCCTTTGCCTTGATGACAGCTTTGCACACTCTTGGCATTCTCTCAACCAGCTTCACCTGGAATGCTTTTCCAACAGTCTTGAAGGAGTTCCCACATATGCTTAGCACTTGTTGGCTGCTTTTCCTTCACTCTACCGTCCGACTCATCCCAAACCATCTCAATTGGGTTGAGGTAGGGGGATTGTGGATGCCAGGTCATCTGATGCAGCACTCCATCACTTTCCTTCTTGGTAAAATAGCCCTTACACAGCCTGGAGGTCATTGTCCTGTTGAAAAACAAATGATAGTCCCACTAAGCGCAAACCAGATGGGATGGCGTATCGCTGCAGAATGCTGTGGTAGTCATGCTGGTTAAGTGTTCCTTGAATTCTAAATAAATCACTGACAGTGTCACCAGCAAAGCACCCTCACATCATCACACCTCCTCGTCCATGCTTCACGGTGGGAACCACACATGCAGAGATCATCCGTTCACCTACTCTGCATCTCACAAAGAAACAGCGGTTGGAAACAAAAATCAGAAATTTGGACTCATCAGACCAAAGGACAGATTTCCACCGGTCGAATGTCCATTGCTCGTGTTTCTTGGCCCAAGCAAGTCTCTTCTTATTGGTGTCCTTTTGTAGTGATTTCTTTGCAGCAATTCGACCATGAAGGCCTGATTCATGCCGTCTCCTCTGAACAGTTGATGTTGAGATGTGTCTGTTACTTGAACTCTGTGAAGCATTTATTTGTGCTGCAATCTGAGGTGCAGTTAACTCTACTGAACTTATCCTCTGCAGCAGAGGTAACTCTGGGTCTTCCTTTCCTGTGGCGGTCCTCATTAGAGCCAGTTTCATCATAGTGCTTGATGGTTTTTGCGACTGCTCTTGAAGAAACTTTCAAAGTTCTTGAAATGTTCCGTATTGACTGACCTTCATGTCTTAAAGTAATGATGGACTGTTGTTTCTCTTTGCTTATTTGAGCTGTTCTTGCCATAATATGGACTTGGTATTTTACCCAATAGGGCTATCTTCTGTATACCACCCCTACCTTGTCACATCACAACTGATTGGCTCAAACGCATTAAGAAGGAAAGAAATTCCACAAATTAACTTTGAACAAGGCACATCTGTTAATTGAAATGCATTCCAGGTGACTACCTCATGAAGCTGGTTGAGAGAATGCCAAGAGTGTGCAAAGCTGTCAAGGCAAAGGGTGGCTACTTTGAAAAATCTAAAATTATATTTTGATTTGTTTAACAATGTTTTGCTTACTACATGATTCCATATGTGTTATTTCATAGTTTTGATGTCTTCACTATTATTCTACAATGTAAAAATAAAGAAAAACCCTGGAATTAGGAGGTGTGTCCAAACTTTTGACTGGTACTGTATATGCTAACCTCTACCTATGTATGTGTGTTTCTGTGTTTGTCGAAGTACATATATTCAGGAATATGTGTATGGGCACATATATTTATACTTGCAGCACAGATGCAGTATATTTCAAAAGATGTTTTGAGATTTTTTTATTTTCTTCCTTAATGGTGTTTTTCAGTGTGACTATTTGATTTAGTTGTTTTTTTCGACGTGCAAGGAGATGCTGCCATTTGTGTTGAGGTAGAATCATTTATCTTTTGTTCTTTATTTTCCAAATAAGAGACAGAATGTTGTGTTTTCACTCCAGGTGGCTGCCAACAGCTGTATATAAACAAGTAGTGGGACAAGACAACTGGAGACAAATCTAATGGTGCTGGTTTGGGCAAAGTCACACAGGACGTGACCCAAATGGCACCTTGGTCAAAACTACATAAGGAATAGGGATCCTATTTGGAGCCAATAGGGTGCCACTTTAAACTGTCGTCTTGGTTGACCGAACTCCAACAGTCTGTCTGGTTGTGATAATATCTACATAACTCTATAGGCCTGATCATACAGTGTGGAAAAGCTTCTCCTTTCTTGTCACTCCATAATCTTGTACGTTTATTACAAACTGTAGTGTGCAGAAGACCGAGGAAAATAGGATTTTCAGTTGACCGGATTTGACCGTACTCATACTGCTGAGCTGTTGAGTGGTTCTGCACTATTTTTCCTACCTTGAACCACTTTTGTCAGTATAAGTTTGTTGTTTTTATTTTTCATTTTTCTTGTTAATTTCTCTGAAGGATAACATGTTGGACATGTTAACTGTGTCATTCGTCAGTAATATACTGACTGACTTCATTTTCAGAATAGTTTTCATTGCCCGTTAATGATATTCTTATATATTTATATATTTCAGAAGAAAGTATATAATTTTAATTTCAATATATTGCAAATAAATACTTTTAATGTATAATGTAAGAAGAATAGAATGGTGCATTTTAAGATAAAAAATGTGTCTCCAAAACAATGCTTGTACATATTGCCCATTATTCAAACATGAAAATAAACATTTCTGGTGATATATTTAATGTGTGCATCTCAGATTCAGTTATATCCAGTTTTTGGAGATTGTCTGTTGAATGAGCTCCCAGTATATTTTAAGCCACTAGAAGCCCTTCAGTCAGGTCGCAACAAATTTGATGTCCTAAAATATTATCTTGCACATGCATGATGTTTGGTGTTTACAGGCTTGAAATAGCCATGTATTCGATACGGCCTATCAGGAAGGTCACCTCCCTGACCAAGGACATTTTTTTATTTAATCAATTTTAGAATAAGGCTGTAACGTAACAAAATGTGGAAAAAGGGAAGGGGTCTGAATACTTTCCGAATGCACTGTATATATGTATATATATATATATATATATATATATACATATATATACATACACACACACACACAGTATACTGAGTATACCAAACATTAGGAACACCTTCCTAATATTGAGTTGCCTTTTTGCCCTCAGAACAGCCTCAATTCGTCGGGGCATGGACTCTACAAGGTGTTAAAAGTGTTCCACAGGGATGCTGGCCCATGTTGACTCCAATGCTTCACACAGTTGTGTCAAGTTGGCTGGATGTCCTTTGGGTGGTGGACCATTCTTGATACACACAGGAAATTGGTGAGCGTGAAAAACCCAGCAGCGTTGCAGTTCTTGACACAAACCGGTGCGCCTGGCACCTACTACCATACCCCATTCAAAGGCACTTAAATCTTTTGTCTTGCCCATTCACCCTCTGAATGGCACACATACACAATCCATGTCTCAAGGCTTAAAAATACCTATTTAACCTGTCTCCTCCCCTTCATCTACACTGATTGAAGTGGATTTAACAAGTGACATCAATAAGGGATCAT